GCGGGGCAGAGCTGGGCTGGACGCCCGTTGCCGAGCGCGAGGGGCCGGCTCTGCGGACGCAAGGCCGGGGAGCGGAGAGCCGAGGGCAGCCTGGGCACGGCGCGTCCGGCGGTCAGTGTGGCTCGCACCCTGACTCGTTCCCCGTCCGGCTCCAAAGGTACAGAGAAGCCAGGTAGAAGGAGGCCGCGCATTTGAGGGAGGACTTGGTGGCGGATAGTCCCCCAGGGAGGAAAAAGAAAAAAGGCAATTCGAGCCAAGGCTGGAAATGGAAACACTCATAGCCTTGGGGTGCACCGTCATCCCCAGAGGACTGGGCTGTGTCCAGCTTTCTAAGGAACGTGAGAAGGGGAGAGGCCAGCCGCTTTCCCGAGCGCACGCGCAGATGAGGAGTGAGTAACATTTTAGGGATCTTAGAAGTCCTCTGGCGAGAGCGTTTCTCGTGATACGTATGCCCGAGGAGACATACGTCTAACAATCTTGGTGATTTTTTTTTTTTTTTTTTGAGTCGGAGTCTCTATCGCCCAGACTGGAGTGCAGTGGCACTCTCACAGCCGTAGCAGCCTCGACCTGCTGGACTCAGGGGATCCTTCCGCCTCAGCCTTCCAAGTAGCTGGAAGGACAGGCATATACCCCCAAGCCCGGCTAATTTTTTGATTAATTGTAGAGAGGAGGGCTCACCAAGTTGCCCGGGCTGGTCTCGAACCCCTGGACTCAGGCAATCCTTTCCGCCTCGACCTCCCAAAGTGCTGGGATTACAGACTTGAGCCGCCGTGCCCAGCCGGAGATGATTTTATGAAGTAAAGAAGTGTATACTTCTCACTAGGAATTATGATTTAAGCCATTTTTTTACTCCCCTTGCTTTTTACTAATATCACTTTGTTCCATACCTATCAAGTGTGTCTCATTTCTCTAGCTAAACACATATGTGAATCCGTTACTGACTTTTGTTCTGTTAATTTTTGTGAAATGTGGCACTGCCTCTTTGAAAAAGTCAGTGTCCTCTTATCAACAAGGGTGCCTGAACGGAGCATATTTGTATACCTAACCCTTACCTGTACCCCACAATATCATTTTTAAAAATTGATTTAAAAAAATGAATGAGTATGCCCAATAAAGGATACAGGACTTGAAAAAAAAAGAAAAAGTCAGTGTCATGGAAATAAACCCAATTTTTCCATTCTAAAATCAGAAGGGGCCCTAAATTCCTGGAAATTGGAAGACATTACAAAATACAAAAGTGAGATAAAATAAATTAGCCATTAACTGTAGGAAAGAACAATTGCAGTTTTCTCCTCTGATAGAGTTTGAGATTTTTTTCCTTTTAATGATGTGGTCATAACTTGTCAAACAAACTGTTACACAGGTACGGTCAGGGAATTAAACGTTTTGGTAAGTCAGATATCCTGGTTGGTAGAGAAATATCACACATGGGCGGCCAGTTTCCAGAGAACAACTGTGTGATAAGCCACACTGAACATGTGATTGGCAAGGAGCAGTCTTCTTTCCTGTAATGACTAACAGCACTCAATCACATTCCACTGCAGTCATCGGTTTACGTATGTCGCCCCCACTGAAATCTCTTGTTCGTCTCTTCGTTCTCACTTAGAACAATGCCTGGCCACTCACCAAGTGTTGTCTGAACTGATATGTTCTGTGGTCAGAATTTCCAGCTTTGGGATTTTGAAAACTTAAGACTGTCACTGGGTCTGCTCTAGCTACCGGAGGAAAAAAAGGGGAGGGGGAGAAGAAGGCAAAGGAGGAGAAGAATGATTTCATTAATGCAGTGTCCAATCATAGCATTCATTATGTAATATATTCAAAACAATATTGATTTCTCTTTTAAAGTACTAGATAAATCTGTTTTGAAAATATATATATATTCTGCATGCATTCCTGGTGTTCTTGTTTTGTCTTTGACCTTAATCAAGACACATTTCACCTGAGCATTAATAAAAGACTGTAAAATACTGACATCTCTTCTCAAGGTAGAAGACATTACTATTAGCAGAGCATGTTACTAATCTGTAAGGAAGAATAAGAATAAATAACTGTCTTCAAAAGAAAAGAGCGTGTGTGTGTGTGTGTGTGTGTGTGTGTGTGTGTGTGACCGACCTTCTGGTCCCCAAATCTGATCCCGTCACAAAGTCCACAAAGACTTGGGTGCTTGTATAAGGAAGAAGAACTGTTGAAACAGCAGATGAAGGGAACCAACAGATCAAAAGGCAGTGGAGTGTGGGAGACAGCTGGTGAACCACTCTGCTAAGCAGTGCCATTCATGGTGTTTCTTCTAAGAAGTGGAACTACTCATTTATGCGTTCATTCAACATATACATTGAGCACCTACTCTGTGCCTGGCACTGTGTCTCAGAGGCAGAGATACACAGCTGGGTGAACAAAGCATCCAAGCCCCTGCTCTGGTGTGGTTTCCAGGCTTGGAGAAGGCCTTTAATCCTGTGACAAGCATGCCGGAAACCTCAGTGTGATTTTAGATGTCCAGGATTCTTCTCTCAAAAGATGGGCACACTATAATTAAAGTCAGAGATGCAGGGGCTTTGAGTCACTGAGGTTGAAATAAAAACGTCGTAAAAATCAAGGAGATTTTTAGAAGTTGATTTTTATAGTTTAAAAAAAACGCTCCAGAGAAACTTCATTGGACTTTTTCATCAAGATGAACAGTGGAAACATACCCTGTTTTGGTAGTGATGAAAATAATAGCAATGACTTTTGTCTTATCATTTTTATTATGTAACTGATACATAAAAAGTAGCCTATGTAACACATTTGTGAGTTGTAGATCATAAAATAAACACCGTAAACTTACTACCTGGCTTAAGGACTGTATTTATTTCCTAGGGCTGCTGTAATAAATACCATAGACTGGGCGGCTTAAAAAACAGAAATGTATCGTCTTACAGTCTGGAGACTAGAAGTCCGAAATCAAGATGTCAGCAAGGATGGTTCCTAAGGCAAGCTG